CTTAGTTCAAGAGCACCTTCTGTTGCTATGGTGAAGTGCAGTTTCTTTCATTTAAGTGCTGCTCCTTTCGTTCTGGCCTGTCTTATGATTCTCTGATACTGTGTGGTTTCAGGAGGACCCTGATCTGTTGCCTCTTCCTCCTTTCCTTGCACCATCCACCTTCCAAAAGACACCTGTTAGTCAACTGCTCCTCGCAGAGCTGGTGCCTGCCCAAGGGAGCCATGCCGATCCTGCACTTTCCAAGACACTTCCTTTTTACCCGCTAGGAGCCAGCTGTCTGACCCACCAGGCATCGGACCTGTATCAGCATGTTTCTGAGCTTTAGTTTACCAGGCATGATCTGGATCTCTCCCCCTCTTGTCCCCCTCACCCTCTTTGGCGTAATCCCAGCCTGACCCTGCAGGGTGGGCACCAGCACTGACCTTTCAGGCCTCGGATGGTTATTTCCTCACATCCATCCAGGGTTTAAATATATTGTCACTTGCTTATATTGTAGGCTTGGATGCTGGGTGATTTTACTGTCTTTCCTTTTCAATATTTTTTTTTCCAGAGGAATGTGTGGAGAGATTCAAATTTAGATGGCCACCAGCAATCTGTGGAAATCTAGAAACTCACATGTTCCTGGACTCTTGCTCCAGTTTAAGAAAAACAGCACTAGAAACTGTAGATGAAACATTAAAAGTATGATTAATGAAATAAAGATGATAGGGAACTCCAGCTGTTAGAGATGTGGGGCGGGGGGCGGGGGAGAGAGACCCGAGTCAAAAGGCTCCTTCTCCAGCCTCGGTTCGTACCGTGCTCGAATTCAAGCAGGAGACAGATGCGTGTAGTGGACATGAGATAGCAAGTTTCTTTATGAAGCACGTGAGCACAAAGCTGCAAGCAGGCACCCAGCTAGTCTCAATTCCCCATGTATAGAGAAAATGAAGTTGTTAGTTTGTTCTATACACTTGAGCTGAGGCTGCAGGTGGGTACTTGGCTCATCTAAATATGCTGACTGTTGGGGTTCAGGGGTTATATACTTTAGTCAGCTTCTAGGTTGCCCCTCTTCCTCCCCCTTCTAAATCTTGGTAATAATGTACAGCCACAAAGGCTTTCTTTCTCAGTTAGTGTAGACTCTTTGTCCTAGTTAGTGAAATTGTTACAGAGGCCCCCTTTCCCAGCATAGGCCCCCCTCTCCCTCCTGTGCAGTTCCCGCTTGTGATGTTGAGGGCACCCAGCAATCGTAGTAAGATTGTTACAGAAGCCGCTTTCCTCAGCACAATCTCAAGGACTCTCCCCTCCTCCGGTGCTACTTTGCTTACAACTCTCAGGACACCGGCTATCTTGTCAAACTGGCTCAGGACAGCTGAGTTAATTGATGAGACATGTCTTCCTCTTGCTTCTAACCTCCCGTATTAAATTTCTTTTTAGATTATAATGGTGAAGGCCCTGCCTTTATTTCCCGTCTGGCTGCTCATTCCTAGCTGCTACCTAACACAACCAGTAGCTCTGCCTTCAAAGACTGCCAAGTGACTATATATGTTTTAAGTTAAAGTTTCAAGGAATGATGTGTTTTGTTTTCTTTTTTTGATTCCCTACTTTACACTTTTTGACAAAAGAGCTTCTACCCTATGCCCCTAGTATGTAGTACTCTGCAGGCTGTTTTTGATTTTTTTTTTTTTTTTTTTGTAGTTAGGTGCTACATTCTAGGATGCTGCATATCATGCTCCTTTATTCTGTTTACTCCCATGTAGTCTGGTGTTGGTTTGCTGCCTGGGTGGACATAGGGAAGGATGCTGCTGGGGCTGAGGGAGGAGAGGCGTGAGGGCCTAGCTTTGAGGGTAGCTTGTGGGAAGGCATTGCCTCTATTTTGTGGTGCTGCCCCTGAGTCCTTTAGCTAAAGGTAGACAGAATGAATCCATCTTTTTCTATGTGCTTTGGGATCAGGTTCTGATCCTTATGGTAGTATCCAAGAGTATGTTGTTAATCTCTTTAGCACTGGCATTAGTGAAAGCTCCCTCGGGACATCAGCGTCTGGTCTTCTCTTTATTTTCCAACTCTCTTGCCAGTTTTCATCGCTTTGTAATTCCTCATGAGTTTTATAATGGAAATTGGAATAAAAGCTTATTAGGCCCTGCTGGTTTACTTAGAGACTAACCCAGAAGTCCTACCAATTATTTTACAGTAATGAATAGGAAAAGATTATATTAAGGGCATGATTCCATTATTTTTTATAATATTACTTATTTCTTAAGTAGCCTACTTTAGAAATTTAATAAGATTCTTTAATAAAAATGTACATGAAAAAATTCCTCATATATCAAATGAATTTCTTCTTCCAATGTAGTCAAAACTTTATCATTTCCATGCCTAAACTCTTTATTTGTGGTAATGTTTGCATGTTAAAATGGCTTTTCAAGGAGCATGGGATTTACACACACCCAATATCACCCACACCCACATAACAAAGAACATAGTACTGTAAGGGATTTATTTCACTAATATAACGGTTAAGACTGTGACCTTTGTGGTTAGATATGGTTCAAATCCTATCTTATCCACTTATTTTTTATGATCTTGGGAAAGTTACTTAACATCTTTAAGCATCGGTTTCCTTACATGGAAAATGTGCTAGTAGTGGTACCTGCTTTATAGGCAGCTTATAGTGAGGATTTAGGGAAAGACTATGTCTAAAACACTTAGCTTGTATGAAGACGATAACAATGATGAAGATGCTTACCAAGGGTTAACAGGATGGATGTGACTATGTGGATATTTATTGAATATTTTTTTAATTAGTAACTTTTTTGGTCAAGATTTCATCTCAGAAGATACTGCCCTGGCTACTCCTGTTTCTGAAAACTTGATACTGGCTTACAGGGTGTGTCCTTTTATGACAGATGGTCAGCAGCTAGTGGTAAAAGAAGTATGGAATGTAATAGCATTTCATTTATTTATGGGAAATGTTTTACTGCCCCACCCTTCAACTAGTTGGAAAATGAAAGTCAAAAACTGGAAACTCTATTTATAAATGGACAGTGCTGTGATCTCAGTGTCTGAAACTGTAGACTTTTAGAAAATATTTATAGCATATTGGAAACTAGTCTCTGATCAGTTTCTCCTTGGTCTGTTTTTTTTTTTTAATTAATCCAGAAAATATGAAATTCAAGGTAAATTAAAATTGAATACTGAAATGCATCAGTCTTTAGGACAACAAGATGGAGAAAAACAATGAACTCTTAATAGAGGCATTTGGAGTCAATAGAGATATTTGTTAATTGGGACTTAATAATAAGCTAAATGAGTGAAAATACAAGATATTCAAGGAGATGTTGAGGCCATGTCTACATTGCACGAAGGAGACAATTTAGCCTAGTGGTTAGGAGTGGGGAATCTGCCTGAGGTCCAGGCCCGATTATGTCACCTGATTAACCATGTGATCTCGTAATTCATTAAGTGCAGTGTACCAAGGCTGTGTCTATGTCATAGTGTCAAGAATTAAATGAGATAGTACATGTAAACCATTTAAAATGCTATATGGCACATAATAAATGCTGTATAAATGCTAGCCACTATTACTAACTAGCCTAGCCAAAACCCCCCAAATAATTCCAGTTTGATTATAACAGACACTTATGAGCCATGCCCATTTCGCTGGTTTAGAGGTAGGTCTCTGTCATTAATGATCATTGCGAACTGACTGCCTTAGCCAGTAACGTATGTGGGGCAGTGAGTGTTGAGTGCAGTGAAGATCCTGGAAAAGTCCCATAGGTGCCTACCTCATGGGAGCTAATTAGAGAGCCCTCCTTAGTTGCTATCAACCTGGAGTCCAAGTGGTTCACCTAAAACCAAGGAACTTGTGTGATTATTGAAAAATCACTTACAATAAAATCACCAGTCATTTTTCAGAGATTTGCATGTCACAAATGGCATCAATAGACTAGTGAACATAGTGTTGCTTATATAGCTAAACTGTGCCATCTGCCTAAACCTAAAAATACGGAAAATTCCTTGATAAAAGATTGCAATTTGTCTTTGTTTTATGCAGCTCATAGTGATTAGACTGTGTGACTTAGCTATATTTGACACTGATACTTTTCTAAAAAGAGACTCTCACATGTATTGTAACATGTCCTAGAAATTTATAGCTACATCAATGTTATTTCACTTCTGTTGGGTTATCAAGGTGTCCACAGTTCTCTCCCAATGATGAGATTGTGTCCAACACCTTCCATAAGGCTGAGTGTGTACTAGCAAAGTGATCTGGGTATTTCGTGTACACCCCACATACCTCTGATGGTGACAGTGCTCCCAGATTTTTAACAGCACTATTTTGAGAGTCACCCAACCCATTGTTTGGCCAATAACTTACTATGTGCCTTCCTTGTCTATAACATGAGGGGACTGGGCTAAGTGATCCAAGTTTTTTTCAGCACCCTTATAGGTTGTGGTTGTATTTGCATATACCCTTTTTTTAAAAAAAAAAAAAAGTTAAAGAGGTATATATATTTCACACGTATTTGTATTCAATGAGTTCTATCCACGTTGCCAGTCTGGGTATGGAAGACAGTAGTTTTTCTCACAGAGGCTAATATTCAAAAGGCATGTTGCATCTGTAACACTAACGCTGCTGGCTTGGCAGATGTCCTTTCTTGACTTCACTGTGAGGATTCGGTATGCAGTCTACACAGGATGACTTGAGGTCCCATTTCACTGCTGTTTAAATACAGCCACGTTGTCTACTGCAAAAGGTCACAAGACTTATTTTTTAAAAAATATGCTTGACATTGAAGCTCTCATGTAAGTGTTCAGTCATTGTTAGACTGTAGATAAATGATGACAATGATGACTACTTGAAGATAGATGCATCAAGCAGAGAATTTGGGGACCTCTGACTTCATGACAAAGTTGTTAACTGCAAGTTTGTTATTTCCTACAAGGATAAGAGTAGGAAATATTAAAATCATCCATACCCGTTTGAGAGAGGAAATTAATGTTTCCTAAAAATTCTTTTCTAGTGAAGGAAGCCCATCCCCCAGAACGGAGCTGCTGCATAACATCGACCCCAACTTTGTGGACATTTCTCCATGTGAGTACCCCATTCCCTGCTGCTAAACTGAATCTGTTTGGCTCACAAGCATAGTTTTATTACCTACTGTGTGTCTCTGGCCTTGCTTTCTCTTTTTCCACTTGAATTTTGTATAAAGGCAAGCAGTTCATGGCACCTGTTGTCCCAGTCTCACTGTGGCTTTTGTGCCACAGAGGCTGAATTCTGTTCTCAGCTCTGCAGCTTATTAACTGTATGAGCTGTAAGCCTTTTCGCTCCCCATGCCCCAGCTTTCCCATCTGTGAAAGGAGAACCCGTCGGTCTCAGGGGCTCCTTTTCATTGTAAGTGTCATGTTCTTGTTACCCTGTTCTTATCTGAGAGCTCCAGCCTTCTTCCAGAAAACCCAACGTCAAATAAGCCGCCATATCATCTGATCGAGCTGGCCAGGTGCTGCCCAGCACCTGCTGTGTCTCACAGGCATGGCTTACTGAGCAATCGTGGGAGTGACTTAGCATGATTCTGCCTACTGTCTAAATTGGCCCATAGGTAGCTCTGTTATTCTTCAGGGAAAGAGGCCTCTGAGTGCTCTCAGATTCCAACAGGTTGTGGTAGTCCTGCAGGATAGCATGCTCGGGGCCTTAGGGCTGGCGCCTGGAAAGCATTACCTATTGTACGCCCTTTGCCCCGGTTCCATCATAATGCCCCATCTTGACACTCTCTTCAGAAAAATAGTGTTCTTACATTTCCTTCCTTCACCTGGGTGCTCACATCCCCTGCTCTCTAAATAGAGTGCTGCCCCTTTGTTCGGGCCCTCCTTACTTCTTTGTCCTCTCCAGTCTGTGCTAAAACCCACCATGAGGTTTCTTGCTCAGAAATTTCTGACCCCTCAGTAATTCTGAATGTCTCACCGGGCAGTCAATGCCCCGCTCGCCTCGCCAGCCGCTCTCCACGCTCCTTGCCCCCTTCTCACCCTACTAGACACTTGCTGTTTCCAAGCATGCGGATCATCATACTTAGGCCTTGATTATGCATTTTCCTTTGCCCAAAACACCTTTCTTTGCCTCTCCACAATTTTTCCTCATCCCTTAAAACCCAGCCCAGATATCCCATCTCATCCCTATGAATGCTTTCTGGAAACCCCAGAAGAAGTGGTCCTCCCTTCCTCTCTGCACCCCTCACAGGTATCTCTGCATAGCATTCATCAAATATCCTACTGTGTGCCTTCATTTCCGTCTAAGCTGAGAGCTCCTGGAAGTCAAGGTCTATGTCTTATTAATCTTTTCATCCTCATAAGTTAACACAAAGACCCAGCACTTAGTAGGCACTCAGTGATGATTACTTGACTGAGTGGTGGAGAGTTGGGATGGAATAAAGACCAAAGTAGAAGCATTAGGTTTGGAAAGGAAAAGACCTTGAGACAGGTAGGAATGGCTGCATTATAGAGAAATTTCTGTTTCTATTGGAGGATACTTACGTGAGTGAGAAAGACAAGGGAGGTTATATGTTCAGTATGGTACCACTAGCTATATGTGGCTGTTGAACACATGAAATGTGGCTAATCATGGGTTGACATGTGCTATAAATATAGAATACACATCAGATTTTGAAGACTTAGTGTGTAAAAGTAAAATATATCATAATATATATTTCCTACTGGCTGAAAGGGCATACTTAGGATGTGTTGAGTTCAGTATTATGGATGTGAATTTTACCCATTCCTTTTACCTTTGTAATGTGGCTAATAGAAAATTTTTAATTACCTATGTGTTTCTCATGGTCTAGAAGGATCATTCTAGAAGATACTAGGGAATGATTTGGTCAGCTGCATTCAGAGAGTCACAGGCCATGACAGTTACTTTGAGATGACTGCATCGCCGGGTGTTAAATCCTTCTCTGCCTCAGCACACCTGAGGAACAGCGCAAGTTCCACTCGGTAACTGGGGCCCCAGAGCAGTGATTCTTCACTGCGGGCCCATCACATCAGAATCTCTCAGGGTGCCCGGAGGGCAACGGGGAAGGCAGGAATGGTTATTAAAACTTCTGAGTAATTTAATGCACGGTATAAACCCACTATAAGAGCCAGCGTTGTGCAGAATATGCTGCCCACATTATAATGATTGTAAAGTGTTCTTACCCACTAAATCCCATCTATAAATGAAAAGCCTTATGCCCCCTTCACTCACTAAGATATATTTTGTCTTGGCATCAGAAATGGGAGCTTATGAGCTCTTTTCCTGTGTCACCGGGCCACAGCACTGCTCACTGTGATCTTTGCTGTCTTCCCTGCAGTGTCCCTAGCTCGTGTGAAGTTCATAGAGACATGGAAATCAGAATACAGAGTCAGCTCAGCCTTGCCACCCAGCCGCCTGTACACTGTGAGGTGTTGAGCAAGTCCCTTCCCTTTGCTTGGAGTCAGTTTTCGTCATATGAAATGAAGGACGAGGACCCTTTGTTGCTGTCACAAATTCAGGGAGGCTTTCTGGCCTTCTGCCCACCTTCCCTCTCCTTGCAACACAGGCCAGGCCTTCTCTGCCAACTTGGGACTCTTGCTTTGACTTCTGCGTGTAGTGAGGGACAATATCAGGTCTTGACACTGATGTTGAACTACATTCCCTATTTGTCCACAAAAGCAGGACAGCATTCTGTACTGTCTGTGCCTGCAGGCAGCTGAGTGCCACCTATTAGTCATACATGGGTGACACCATGGGCCTTTCCTCCCAGTTTTCATGTTCATTTCAATACACTGTGCAGCGGTTGGAGAAAGGAGAGCTATCCTGGGGGGCCTGCTCCTTTATAGGATGATGGTACAAGCCCATTTCCTTTTCTATGCAATGAATTTGTAGGGAAAAATTAAATCCAAGTATAAGAATAGATGTATTTATAGGACAGTCAAGTCTGCAAATCCTATTCATAGAATCTGTTTTTTAAATATGATCTAGAGACTCTTGTGGAATAAAATTAGAGAGCAGCCAACCTCGGGTATAAATTAAGGATTGACAATTGTCACTGTTATCACAGAAACACTTGTTTGCCTTCTAACTGTAGCACGTCCCAGGTTAGGTGTCCTTACCTGCAGCAGACGAGGGTAGTGCTCCACCTCCACCTTCCCAAACGCTACCTCATCACTTTCCTCATCTGTGCAGACTGATTAAATATGTCTACATTCCCTTCCAGCTTCAACACTCAGTGGGTCGCTATATAAATAAGACCTTAAATGAGCAAAGCCTCTTCTTCAGTTTGTCCCCTTTTCACCTCGCTAGAAACGGGGTACTTGTTAATAAGGGGCGATGCAGCCAAAGGCATGGTCGTAATTGGTGAATACAAGTGGAAGTGCTAGAAACACTGAAAGGGCCAGAGTGATTAGAAATATTACATCATTTTGGTATTGCTCTATCCTGCCCACCGTTCCAGTCCCTGTTCTAAGACATCACTGCATCAATCAACTTTTCCACCTGCTCTCCCTTTTTCAGTGGGTCTTGTTGGGTATGGTGGCCCAGCGCCCCTCCTGTCGTGAATCGTAGGACTAGACATCAGGTGTTTCCTAGGGAAGCCCCGCCTGCTAAATGGTTCCAGATCCCCTCAGGGGCCTGCCTCTTGGGGTCAGCAGCTACAACCTGTCCCTTTTATTCTAAGAACGTAGGGTGCCCCAGAGGCTCTTCTTACAGGGTCTGCAGGGCCACATACCCTTCGCAGGCTGTGGCTGGCGCACCATCTGTCCTCTTTTTCCTCACCAGGAAAAGCAATAGAATGTACATGTTCACTCCAAAGAAAAGGGTAGGGTTTGATGGCATTTAAGGGACATTTACAATTCCATTTTTTGTAGAATATATGTTGATCTTTCAGAATACTGTTTTAATAAATGATTTCTTTTTTTTATTTATTTACTTTTTAAATACATTTGGCAGAGACAAATGTATTTAATAAATGATTTCTAATATATCTATAGCAAATTGTTCATATTTTATGTTAATGATCACATAGACTGTAAAAACCATGAGCAAAATGAACCCCAAGTAACGTGGGCAATAATCGGGTTCCCCAGACCTCCTTGAGAGACAAATATGTTCATAAACCCCCCACCTCTGGATTCAGCCCATCCTGACCTCCCTTCTGAGACCAGGGCAACACCTCTTCCTGTTGTCTCAGTCCTGCCTTCCTGGCACGTTCTCTTTCATTGTTTCATCGGTTACTGGCCCTCTCAGAGCCCCTAACCTGGCTTCACATTTCTTTCCGTGGCCCCTGGCCCCATGGCCAGCGTCACAGGAGTGGGCTGCAACTGCTTTCCTGCGCGCTTTGAGGGTACTGTTTCTTCATTTTCGGAGGCTTTGTCCTGACATAACCTTAGACAGACCTGTTTTGGGTCCTGCCAAGATACTACATTTTTCTCTTTCCTCCTTGCTAAGGCTAGAGCGTACTCCCCATGTCTTTAAAATATTTCTTTCTAGCAGGCAGACCTAGACTCGGTGTCTTTTTCCAACAGTACAGAGTGGGCCGGGAAGGAAACCTGAGAGAGCCCGAGGGAAGGGGATGGCACCGTTGGAGCTGATTTATGGGGAAGCCTGGAAACATCCGAAGCGGTGGGGAGCACGCGCCATCCTGAGTCAGTCAGTCCCAGACCTTGCAGGTGTGAGTGGAGCTCTACGTGGTTCGGAAGAGCTCCAGCTCCACACTCTGTGCCTCCCTCGGGCTCTAGCTAGCACGCCTCAGACCAGGGGAAAAGTTATTTCAAAGGCATTAGATCAACCTACACGCTCCAGGCCTCAACTGGGCTGCCCTGAGGTAGTGACCATACTCCATCTACACCCACCACTCACCTTGGCAGTCAGATGTGTCATTCTGCGCATTGTTGGCATTCTCACGTACATCTGATTGTGAAGCGTAAGCATGTATACCTGACACACATGCACACATTTAAAGCACCCGCTCTGCTGATAGGGCTTGATTACAGATGAAGGGCACTGACAGATGTTAGCATTTTCCGTTCCACCAAAGGCCAAGTCTTCAAAGTGATCCTGTCCAGCTTTGTTACCATTTCATTTAA